AACAGCTCCAGCTTGGCGTGGACACAGGCAAGGAGAAGATCTCTGCCATCTCTCCCGAGTGAATAATAATAACATGCAGAACGGGAAGCTGCTGCACTGGAATCCACTCAGCCAGCGGAGCCGAGCCACCCCCCCAGCACCACCCAAATCAGGGTATAGGATATCAGATCACACATTATATAATACTGATAACATGCAACCTGCTCTTTACTGCCACGGTAATTGCACACTGCACCAAATAAAGAGCTTGTAATTTAATGTTCCCGAGATTACACAGCAATTACACTTACAGCCCAATTTAGCAGAAAATAACTATTTCTCCCTAAGCCCGGCAGCACGAAGCACAGCAACAAGAGGGTTTCTGTGGCTCCCAGCCCTCCTCAGGCACAAAGCTGTCGCGCAGAGTGGCACAGAGGGGTGACGGGTACCGCCGCCCCGGCGGGAGACCCATCGCGCAGAGGGGCACAGAGGGGTGACGGGTACTGCCGCCTCGGCGAGAGACCCAGGGCCGCCTCAGCGGCCAGCCAGGCTCTCCCTTCATCCCCGTCCACAAGCCTCAGCCCCTCCGTAAATAGGCCGTGCCCTCACGGTGGCACGAGGCAGTTAAGTGCCCAGCCAACACACGGCGTTGATTGACCAGAATTACTAAGCGGATGGAGCACATGCATGCCCCAAAGCCTGAGATGCGATCCCTCGGGGAAGAACTTAATCCCGTTACTCTCAGTAAAGCCTCGGACTCACTGTCGCACAGAAAGGCCAGGGCCAAGCCGAGCCAGCAGGCATCGCCGACCAACACATCTGCAAGACAGAAGATAAAAAGGCTTTGTGAGTGCCAAATAAACACCTGAAAATGCCAGCAAGATGGGGCCGGGGAGGGGATTCACCACTTTGGTGGTTCGTATCTTAAAATCAATCTTAACACGAGAGGATCTGGGCTGTTCCTCCACAAATCTTCTCTCTCTTACACTGAGCTCTTAACTAGAGTCTCTAGACCCTGCCTGGGGGTTCATTCTTTATGACACCCTGTAATTAGTCTGCTCAGCTGTAATACCTTGTTTGTAAGACAGACATAAACAGCACTCTAAGCTCACAGCTACGCTGAGGCGGTCCGTTTTTCACTCTCACTACAGCAATTATCGGGGTGGGCGGCACACATCCCCCAAAAGGCGCATCTGCCAAGCTCTGCAGAAAGGGCAGGTTCAGGCCACCACTCTCCACGTGTCCAAGATGAAGACATCAGCCCCCCCTTCCCCCAAACACTTGTCTTCATTACAGCGTTTTGCCGTCGCCATTCATTAAGCTCCGAGCACCGGCGAGATGGGAGGTCACTGTCGCAGCCCAGCGCACGCAGCGTTTCAGCTGCGCTGAGGCTCGGGGCGGGAGGTAAAAAGGGATTTTGTGGTGCCCGAAGGAGTGGGTGCCACTCTCTGCGGAGCAATTGTAGTAACCGCGACCCTGACATTCAAGGGCATCTCTCCAGGAACAGGGAGGAACAGGCCCCCGGCTCAGCGCAGCTCAAGCGTTTGCAGATGTGGGCTGGAATCTGCGGAGCCCGCTCCTCTCCAGGACAAAGCGTAACAGGCAGCGCTGCCTTTCCTGACAACACGACAAGAACGAGGTCTGTAATAACGTTTGGCGTGCTCATTTGCACGCGACAAACACTAATTAATCTTCTCAAACGCACAAGCATCTGTACCAGCATCTCCCGCTGTTTCATTAACAGCAGTAGATAAACAAAGCTCTGCTGCTCTTCAGTCGTCCTACAGCTGGTCTTGAGGACGAAGTAGGAAAAACATCTGGAGGTCAGCTCTTCACCAGGTGTAAATCCAAAACAAAAGTCATTATTATTAACCACTCCGAGTTCCTGTGTAGATGATCGTTAGGATGTTTCCTTTCAAAATCCTCCCTCACGTTCACAGGCTAGACTTGAAACACAGCAGGTTTTTAGGAAGGCATCCTGGCTGGACGCATGAATTTTCGGCAATGCAGAATCCACCCCATGCTGCAGTGCAACATTTCCGATTGAAAACCCTTCTTTGAATCATCTCTAGTTTATCAACGCCCTCCCTGAAGTGCGGCCTGACAGCGAGACCGAGAGCTTCAGGGGGACACAGCAATGGCTGAGCCCCGCCAAACCTCCACCACCGTGTCCGAGAGCAGCCGACAACGGATCCCCGGAGAAAAGTCTCAGGAAACACACGGGAGCACCCCCCACCACGTGCAGCTCACGCACTTCCCAAGCCAGAGGGTTTCAGTCCGTAATAAATGGCTTTTTTCGCCATGAATTCACATTGCCACCTCCCAAATCCCAGCACGAATTCTCACGGCTTAACTGGATGCATAGAACCAGCTCCCCGCTTGTCCCAAGCCCCAATGGACCAGCGCCGGCCACCACCTCCCAGCCCCTGGGCAGGGGAGAGTAGGTGAACGATAAATCTCTACCCACAGACCATTAATTATTCATACACCTCGCTCATGCCCTCCTCAGTCTGCTTTTCCAGACTGAAAGGCCAAACCTACTTCATCTCTCCTTCTATGGAAGCCACTCAACACCTCTTGTGGGGGGTGGAAGAGGGAGGGCTAGCTCCGAATCACACACAACATTCAAAAAAAGAATAAAATCCACAATGCGTTTGCATTTTTTTCAAAGCTAATCTCCTCAGGAAGAACTCCCCACCCTCTTGGCTCAATTTTTATATTTTTTTTAGATGCAAAGCATTACATCTTGCTGCAGTGCAACGACTATTGCTTGCAAAACACAGCCCTCCAGCTAAGCAATCGAGGTCACTCTGTACCAAGGACCTGTCCTCTTCATTATTTATCATTCTCTAAGTTGTTACAGCTTCTCCAGCTCTTCCTCCATTAACTTGCATTTTCTTCCAGATCACTGACAAACACGTTTCTTTAAAAAGAAGAATTAGCCCTAAAAGAGGATCCTCTGGACCCGCGCCGAGACCTTCCCCAGCCAACTCCCGCTGTGCCCCGCGCCCGAGGAGGGTGCAAAGACTCAGGACACCCCCGGACAGTGTTAATTATCGGGGACTTTACAGAGCACAGCCGCTCGCATGGGGCTGGAGAAGGACAAGTGTAAAGTGGCAGCTCAAATGAGATGTCTATAAACGCCTGGCAGTGGAACAGCACCGGCTGCACACACCCCACCAGGCAGCTCCGATAGCTCAGGAGGAGAATTTCGGGAGTTGCGGGGGACAGCTCTGGAGCAGCATCAGCTCAGTGTCACGTCGATAGACGTCGTTAACATTTATCCTGCAAGACAGGTCTATAAAAATCACTCGGATTTTGCCACGGAGGAGGCAAACGAGAAGCAATTATATATGCTTTTTCATCTGACAAGCAAAAGCAGACATGAAATGAAGTTATCAGACGCAGGCTTCAAAGCAGAGCGAGTGACTTCTCTCTTGTTTTTCAAGCAGCAGCTGCGGGGCACCCGCCCAAGCAGGTATCGGAGCCCCCCGTGTCGGAGCCCCCCCCCTCTCCCGCTGCCGGCAGATCCTGCCTTTAAACAAAGCCGCACACGCGACAAAGAGCTTTCCACAAAAGCGTGACGGCTCCAACCGCCGCTAGAAAGAGAATAAATTAAGAGAATGAAAAATCCCAAACACCGTCTCCAGGCTGACATCAAAGAGGACAACGTCGGAAACGGGGGCTGGGAGGGGGACGGTCACAGCCTTGAGGAGGCACAAAACTGTCCAGTGGGGGTGGCAGATGGGAAGAGGCACCTTCAGGCCAAGCAAACGCAACGCCCTTCCCCATCGCTGCTCAGCGCCGCAGGCATGGCGGGACATGCTCCCGCACGGGACCGCTGAGCTCCTACGAAGTCACCAGTGCCCCAGGCAGGCGTCTCTGCGAGGCGGGGGACACCCCCCAGCGCCAGCTGGGTGGTAATGTGGGCGATGGTCCACCCAGTCAAGGCCACCGAGAGCCACAGGAGCGAGGGACGGGGAGAGGCTGCAGGCAGG